GGTCCCGCTCTGTATTCACCCCTCCCCCCACTCGCGTGTCCTCGCCGTGTCTTGGCCTGCTGCTCGCTACGGCGACCCCTGCAACGCCGTCGAATTCGCTCCCGCAGTGCGGCAGTGGCAGGCGGGCACTCCCCGCCAATTCGCCCACCTACTGCCCGCCCACAACCCGATTGTACGGGGTTCACCATTGTGGCCGTGAAATGACCGCGGCCATGCCCGCCGACCTCGACCTTTCATGCTCCATTCCATACCTCCCGTCCAGCTATTCCCGGCCGCCACATCCATTTTCAACTTTTCACTCTTCGAGAAGAATTCCGCCCCCTTCATGCCGTCCTCTGACATGCATGCCGCTCCATCAGAACCATCATTGCCAAATCTCCAGCCAGGGGTCTCTCGTCCATGCCACGCGGTGCTCATCTCCAGTACACGGCGCCCGTGACAAGACGACGAGGTCATTGACCGGGAGCTCGGTCGCATTGATATCGGCAGCCACGCGCCGAAGCTTGTGCTTCTTCCATCTTGAATTCTACTAGCATCGACCCGACACCACCCCTTCTCCCGCCCACCCAATCTGGGGTTGCATCGACCTAGCTCGCCCTCGCTCCCAGTTCACACCAGCACACCAGGTCCCAGGTCCTTGCTGATCGACGGAGGCACTCACCAAACACAAGCTACAGGGCCTCTCTTGCCCTCCCTCTTTGCCAGATCGGGGTCGTCTCGTCGTGGGTTCCTGGGTTCCGGGTTCCAGTTCCAGCTTGCCCGCGCTACCGCCGACGGTTGACGGGCCATAACCCCCTCGCAACCCACATTGTTCTCGATGCACGATTCTCCCTCTCCACTGTCCCGCACGCACATCGACGTCTATCCCGAGTCTGGACGAACGGACAGGTGGACCATCTGATCTTGCGCAGCCCCCGCTCCCGTGGCCGACACTGCGGGCTCGACAACCGATTATCAACCCGCACCCACCACCGGCGGGGATATATCCAGTCGCCCTCGGCTCATGATTGAACATACAGTGGATGCGCCCCCAGATTCTCCTCCCTCGTCGCCGACATATCGATAGCACCCTCCCGAGACTGCCGAGCGTCCGCGCGGGGCGTCATTCAACATGTCCAACGATCCCGCCGTGCGTCGCATCCTTCCGCAAAACACGCAGATGAACGCCTTTACCTTTGCGCCCCAGACATATCAGCAACCGCGCGAAACTCAAAAGAGTGCGTCGCCCAGGGACCTCTTTACCTCCGCAACCATAGTCGTCGTTGGCTGACCCTCTTTTCCAGACTATGTCTTCGTCGACGAGCACAACCGCCACAAGCGGTTGAAGGGTATGGGCCCCGGCACTCGCCCCCTTGTTCCCTTGGCCGAGAGCCCCAACTGACTCGTCCGACGTCTATAGTCATGAGAGCATGTGAAGGCTGCCGGAGGAGAAAGATCAAGTGCGATGCCGCCACCACAAACACATGGCCCTGCGCTGCATGCATCCGACTCAAGCTTCACTGCGTCCGCCCGAACGGCTTCGATGGTGCCGCCGACCCCCAGGTCTACGAACCTTCCCCGTCCCAGCTCGACGAATCACCACAGCACCAAGATGGCTTTCCGCGCCAGCTCTCCTCGGGAGACCAACAGCTTCTAGCTCACGCCGCCAAATCCAGCCCCGCATACCAGCAGACGTCGTACCAAGATGCCACCGCCCTCTACCAACCTGTTCAGTACACCGAGCCGCAAAATGTCAACGTGACGCACGGCGTGCCGTACGCCGACTTGTCCCACCCCGTAAGCGTGGATACGCAGCGATTCCCACCGCAGAGCACCTTTCCGACTCCACCACCGATGCAGCACCCGTCCCAGGCTGCCGAATCGCCCGAAGCATACCACAATGACTATGCGCAGCAGGATCTCGCCGACCTTCTAGGGTCTCTAAAGGTCGACGAGGCGGGAACGGGTGGGTTACCATGCGATGGCTGCAGGTGGTGCTTAGCTGACTGGATGCCGTAGCCCCCTATCTGAACAGCAAGATGCGGTCGCCAAGAGACGAAGAGCCGGCCGTCGAAGATGCCGACGACTACAAGAGCAACTTGCCCCCATTAAACTACGGACCAGGCCTCAAGGTCAGGATACCCCCTGCGCTGATGCCTGACGACGACACAGCGCTTCACTACTTTGACCTCTACTTTGCCCACGCCCACCCGTACGTGCCTGTCTTGGACAAGGAAACTTTCTATCACCAATGGCACAGCAGCCGGGAAACCATATCGCCGCTGATCCTCGAGGCCGTGTTTGCGATTGCTGGTCGTCTGGCGGACGAGCCTGCCCAGGGCCAGCAATGGATGGCTCTTGCTACCCGTACGTTTTCGTCCAGATTTGGGTCGAGTCTGTTGGTGGAGGGTGCTGACGGGTGCAGGACATGCCGACTCGTTCATGGATGTCCCCAGACTGAGCACGCTGCAAGCTCTGCTCATCATCCTCAAGGCAAGGGAACAGGCACCAAAGAGGGGATACTACTACAGGTCCTGGATGACGATTGTGCAATGCGTTCAGATGGGCAAGGATCTCGGCCTGGATGAGCACTTTACCGACCACCAGGCCGGGAAGCCGTGCGGCTCTAGTGCTTCCGAATGTGCCCTGAAATCCAGGATATGGCAGGTGATATTTGCCTGCGAAATCATGATCGGCTCGCCCCAAGGTAAGAGACAAGCGTGTCCATGGCTGAGTCTGGAGCTGACACGCTGGCAGGGCGAACGGACCTCCAAGTCGAGGAAGAGACGGTCGATTTCCAGCCCCCGCGACCGGTCCCGAACGGCGACGAGTCCGAATACTATGTATCTCGTAATTTCTGCGTCTTCGCCAAGACGGCGCGGAATGTCGGGCGAATGAATGCCACCTATGGCCGCCTGAAGAAGAGCAAGAGCAAGGATTGGGGCATTGATCCCGAGTTCCTCCAGCTCGGTGCGGCCCTGAATGCGTGGTTCGGCGAACTGCCCCCGGATCTGGCCATTAGCTACCCGCCTGACGGGTCACCGCCGTGGCTGCCCTCCGCCTTTGCCGGCAACGTGCACTCGTACTATTACCTGAGCATCATCCTCTTCAATCGGCCCCAGCTGGCGTTCCTCCAACCCGGCGCTGTCGGCGGCCAGTGGAAGCACCACATGCTGCTGTCTTACAACGCGGCCAAGAATCTCTGCAGGTTGCAGGAGGCCGTCGTCAACACCTATGGTCTCCAGGGACTGCAGTGCATGCAGAGGGGCATCAACTTTACCATTTATGCCGTCCTCGCCTGCATTGTGCTGCATCTTGTATGGGCATCGTCTCGTTCTATTTTGGGGGAGCAACGCTAACGCTGTACCAGGTGGCCTTGACGTCTCCCGATCCCCAGCTGAGCAGCGACGCGCGCGAATACTTTACACGGCATATGCGGATCCTCGAGAAGTGCATGGGCGCGTGGCCGATGCCCGACATGCAACGACAGGTCGACTCGATTCGCCAGGCCTTCTCGGCCGATGTGAGGAAGTCCTTTGTTCTCAAGCCGAGCTTTCCGTACGGGAGCCCGAGCTCGTCGACGCACTCGAGTCCTCCCGGCCAGTACCGTCCGGAGGTGACTCGGTCTGGGTCCATGGAGCAACCGGGAGACACTCGGATGCCCCACTCGCAAGTCAGTTACATCAGCCATCCCTTGACACCCAGGAGTCCCCTGGACAGCAATAGTGACTCCGGTGTCCAGTCACTGGCCATGATGGCTTCCAGTCAACCGCCGCCGCCCGTCATGCAGCAGGCCATGCCTCTCCCGGATGCCCCGACGTGGAATCCCTCTCGCATCTTTGAGTGAGTGGCCCATTCGTTCCCCGTTTCCGGTCCCAAGCTAACATGACTGCAGCCAATGGAACACTTCGTTTGGTCCTCCCACCCTCCAACCATCACCCAGCCCTGGGCAGGTCCAGGGTGGCGCCATAAGTGTGGCCTCTTCCGGGGGTTCAGACTCGGCCGCCCTTCAAGATATGCATTCGCAGCATCTCGCGGCCCAACAGTTTCCGGCCGCGCAGGTCCAGTCGTTTGTCACGCCCGCCATGTGGCAGGAATCGGTCGCCAGCGTGTACGAGGGCGGGCTAAAGAGGGCCTGGGACTATGACTCCCACATGTCGATGAAGCGACACTAGGCTCCGACGATATCCAGCGCGACTCTAGGACGAGATTCATGATGATGAGCGATTGGGAGACGACAACACGCACCCGCTACTTGCTGCGATATAAATATAGGTTTTGTGCGACGCGCACACACGGCACGGAAAACGAACGAACAAACAAACGAGCACGCTGCAAAGATAGAACAGACACGACAGACCAGGGGCTCCCAAGTAATAGGATGATGTGCGAATAGGCTGGGGGTGTTGGTTGGCTTTGACGGGGGCGACAAAAGGGGCGGGAGACGGACGACAGCGCTACAATATCGATGTTTCTTGGGTCGCAAATGTACTATTAATACGGGGACAAGGAAGGTCGGGTGGGATGGGAACGGAAGGAAAGGGTGCTTGGGATTGGGGGGTGTGGTATATTTGCACGAGTATCGGACGGGGGTTTTTTTTTCTTGCGAGAGGGTTGGGTTGCGAGGAGCAAACGCGATGATGTTTTTCTTCTTCCTTTCTCGCAAAGATACCAACCGCGAGCGAGTTATCTTGGGGCCAGCTACCCTGTGGGGTGGGAGCCCATTCTTTTTTTATTTCTCCCACGACGCGGATGTGTACATGTACAATAGTAGGGAAGGGACTTGGATATATAAGACGAGGCGATCGACAGGCGTGTGTCTGTGTGAATACAAAATGTCGGGATCTTTGATGAAACGCTATGGATGAAGGTTCTCCCCCCTCTTGTTTGCTGCTGTCCCCAGTTAGCGATGGCGATGGTGGTGAACTCACATGCATGTGTATCGTGCACGAGTCATGCCATGCCTCTGTCGGGAGATTTGAGAGATAAATCCCAGAGGATGGGGCATACAGAAGAAGAAAGGGTGACTAGTATAGTGGTCAGTACACTTCGTTGCGGTGCTCGTTGCAGGAAGTATGCATGCAGGGAGGAGTGACATGTCCGAAGAAACCCAGGCTCGATTCCTGGGTTGCCCATAGGAAATATGTATCTGAACCAGTAGTTCCACTGGGTTGAGATCTTTTCGGTCTTTTGGGGGGTTGATTGTCTTTTCATTTTGTGGTTGTTTGGGGCATGTTTCTGGGTTCGGGGATGTCAAGGGGGGTGGGGGGTGGGGAGGGGGGTTGTTCGACATGGAGTACAAAGGCTCTAGTTGCATTTTGTCTTGATAACTCTCGTTCTGTCTGCAGACAGAAACGTCAAAATCCCCGTTCGCGTGGTTGTCTCTGCTCTGCAGTAAGACGCTAGTGTCCATCTTCCTCTCCCGCGCTATCATCAAACCATTCTCATCTCCCCATCCACCCTCCCTATTCACCCCCCCCTCTACTCCCCCATAACCCCAAACCTCCCCACCCGACTAAAATAAAACGCCTTCTGCCCCCTCTGCACAAACTCCGCCCACTCCCCCGTCGCCCGACTATAGCTCCAAAACCCCCTCCACACCAACCTCGTCCCCCGCCCCCTCCCGCCCCCCGCCGCCTTGACCCCCAGCTCCATCCGATACACATACTGACTCACCCCCTCCGTCTCCACCACCAAGTCCCCCTCGTCCCCGTCGGCATCGATCTTCCACCGCCCGCGCAGCGCCCCCTTGGCCGCGCCGGACTTGAGGGACGGCGCGTCCCGCGTGAGGTGCGCGACGACGTCGGAGGGCTCGTGCGTCGTGAGCAGGCTGAGGGCTGTCCCGTCGCGGAAGAAGCGCAGGTACCGGTAGTAGGTGACGATGTGCACGGGGTTGGCGCCCCAGCCAGAGGTGGACGCGGTAGGGTCGTGAGCGCCGGGGCGGATGTAGTTGACCGTGGAGATGTAGGCGCCCTGCAGGGGGGTTAGTGTTGGGGGGGGTGGGGGGAGGTGAGGGGGGTAGTACGTACGCCGAAGCGGATGCGGGGCAGGAGGGTGCGGAAGGTAGTTTGCCAGGACAGTTGGGGGATGGTGGAAGGCGGGGGGAGGTAGGTCGGGGGGCCGAGGAGCGGGTCCAACTCCCAGGTGACGGAGCGAGTGAAGGAGGTGTGCAGGGCGAGGAGGCCAAACTCGGGGCCGAGGGAGAGGCGCCGCCAGATGCGGTCTTCGGTGGCGACGAGGTGGGCGAGGCGGCGGCAGACGAGGGAGAGGCGGACGAAGGAGGCGGGGTCGGCGAGGGCGAGGGAGAGGAGGATGTGCATGAGGATTTCGTCGGGGAGGGCGGCGAGGGGGCAGGGCGGCGGGGGCATGCCCTCGATGGGGGGTGGGGCGGGGGGGATGGAGAGATGGGAGAAGGAGGCGATGAGGTCGGTGATGGAAGGGGGGGTGGGGTCGGCGGTGGGGGTGGGGGCGGTGGGGGTCTTGGTGGTGGTGGTGGTGGTGGTGGGCTTGGGGGGTGGCTTGGGGAAGTGCTTGGCCTTGTATTTTTGGTCGACGCTGTCGTCCATCTGGGGGGGTTTAGTTAGTGCAGGATGGGGGTAAGGAGGGGAGGGACACTCACTCGGAAGGCCTTTCGGTATAGCCTCAGGCTGTCCCCCAGCTTGCCGGCGGTTTCTCTCTCGACCGCCTTTTCGTAGTGGTCGAGAGCCGACACGGGCTCCTCTGGTTCTGCTCGTTCCTCCTTCAATGTCATTCCGGTACTGCTCCCGGACGCAGGCTCATCAAACACCCGTGGCTGGACCTCGTCGTGGTCGTCGTCCTGGGCCGCAACCTGCTTTGTCGGGGCAGGCGGCGGTTTCTTTGGTCCACCGACGAGACTCGCAGGTCTGGCGGAAGAGGGACCAGCAACGGCGCCCGCCGACGAACTCGGGCCGGCATTGGCGTTGGTGGTGGACCGGGGAGCAGTCAGAGCCGGAGCCGGAGCAGGAGCCGGACGTCTACTGCGGACCTCGGCCCTCCATTGCTCCCGGAAGGACTCGAGGTCGGGGTTGGCTTCGGAGGACGGGCCGGTCATGTCGGGCCTTTCTGGGGTCTGATGGTGTGAGATCGAGGACGAGAATGGGAGAGAAATCGCCCCTTATAAATCCATGTATAAAGGCCGAGAAGGGATGAGAGCAGCAAATAGGGTGAGGTTGCGGTGAGGAAGGTTGTCGAGCTGTGAATGGACGGGTGAGCGAGAAAGCGATTGTGTCATCCGGCGACGGCGGGACAAGCGACGGGTCGGGACTCAGGCCGGTTCCCGATTGAAAGTGTACATCGGAGATAACATGAATGACTAAGACCGCCCCCAATTGCTGAAATGGACGCGGCAGCTTGCATCATCGGATCGATCGGTGGACAGGCCCTAACCCTATATCGAGGTCGACTTGGGCGCCTTGAGTTGTTCAAGGTCGGGTTGCCTGGCTTTCACAGCTCTGGATAAGTTTTAAATCTCGGGAGGGTTTATCAAGAGTAAAAAGTGCCTCCATTTCATGTGCCCAACCAAGCCGCTGTCACCAAAAAAAAACGTCTTCTGCCTACCCATTTTACAGGTGCTCCCTGACACCCGATTCAGGAGTCATCGACAAACCTCCTCCCTAGCAAAAGACGACACCTTACTCTCGCTGTATTCTCAACATATACGGAGGCTACCTTCGAAAACACAACAACACGCACAAGGCTACGCCTGCCGTGTGACGTGGCATGACGTGGCATGTTGTACCAGGACGTTCAGCCGCCTTGACAACTTGAAGAAGGGCCTCTTTCCAGGTTGTTACTGTACACTTCTACTTGGAACCTACGGAAGAATAGCTCCCTTATCACACACAAATGAGTTCCATCAAACGTCAGGCAGCTTATTTAGGCATCAAGTCTACGCAAGGAATTCAGCTGCGTCAAAGAACTCGCCTTCCGGATCTCCAACGCCCGAGCCAACGTCATTCTGACTAGACTCAACCGCTACCCCCTCGCCCTCAGGCGTCCTTATACTAGCCAAGAACTCCCCAAACGCCTCCATAAAGCCTTCTTCAACCGGCGGCGTGTTCACGCTCAGTCTATTGTCCACAATCTGCGGAATGGTGAGGCCGCCGCTGCTGTTCACGCAATCAACGTCAGTCAGGACCAGACGTCGCGAAGTCAACATCCTGAGCGTGCGCACGTCTGCGAAATGAGCGGCGACGTGGGCAAGGCAAGGGTACTTGAGGCTGGACACGCCGGTGACAGCCGCACCGCGGCTGAGCAAAAAGTCGAGCGCATCGTGGTTGTTGTGCTCGACGGCGTAAAACACGGGCGGCCTCTGGTCATGGCCCTTGACGTCGAGTCCGGCGCCGCCTACGTCGACCAGATAGCGCATCGCATCGTTGAAGCCCTCGCCTATCACGATGGTGAGCGGTATGAGGCCGGGTGTGGTGTGCCACTCCGGGTCGGCTCCGGCTGCGATCAGGGGGCTGTAGTAGTCCAGATCTCGGTTGCGGTTGCAAGCGTAGATGAGCGCTGTCTGGCCCTCTACATCGTACGCCGTGACGGATGCCCCAGCCTCGAGCAAGGGGTCCAGGCAGCCGGGGTTCCGGGCCTCGGCAGCGTACATCAGCGGGCTGGTGCTCTGGGGTGGATGCAGATTGGGGTCTGCCCCGGCGTCAAGCAGGGACCGCACTGCCGAGACCATACCTCTCTGGGCGGCCCACGAGAGGGCAGTGCGGCCGTGGGCGTCAAGGGCGTTGATTCCTTGCGGTTGCTGCGAGATGTAGTCCTGCAGGGAACAGCCGTAGCCACTCAGGCCCACGACAATGCGGTGCAGTGAGGTTAAGCCCATTTCCTCGACGCAGTCCCGGTCGCTAAAGAGCGTCTCCATTTCCTGCTGGGTGTCGTCGTCGTAGGCTCCGCCCAGCATTTTGGACCACGCAAACTCCAGAGGGGATCTTTGTTAGAAGTCAGGGTCGTCATCCCGGATCAATGGCTGGGTATGTTGCGAACGTCTTACCGCAGATTCCAACCGTCTTCGAGCGTCGGATCAGCGCCTCTAGCAAGAAGGCTCCGAATAATGGCAGTGTTGCCATAGCTGATAGCGTACTAGACAGCAAGTACAACACTTAGCTAAACTAGTCATGTCCAAGGTTGACTCAAGCCAATAAACGCACAGGAACCTAGGCACTTACGTGCAAGGGCGTCCAAGCGCTGCGAAGGGTTAGCATACCAGGGAGAGACAGAGGTAATTAGCATTGGGTCCCAAAAGATAAAATTGGAGTGACTCGCCCCTTGAAAGTAGCACTCGGGTGAGCCAACCGCCTGTCCAAAAGCGACCGCACGCCTTCGGTATCTCCTTTTTCTACGCGGCGGTAGATGGAGAAGTCGGTGCTCAGCGGCCGGATCTTTACGCAGGCCGCTGGATCTCCTTGTGAGGTGGTGATGAAGACCAGGGATACCATCTTGCTTAGTAGAAACGTCGGCAAATAGTAGGTAAAGGTGGCCGAGAATGGGGATCGCTGCGTGCACCGCGCATCGGTGCAGCGCTTGGAGAGCAACGGCAAGCTGGAAAAGCCGAGGAAAAACTCGCCCAGAAGCCTCTGGGCGAACGAGGGTGACTTGTACCGTCGTCTCTGGTGACAGGCACATTCGCAATCTGGGATGCAACCTTGCTTTTGGAATCTCGAGAATTCCAGCTTCAGTCTGGAGACCGATTCCGAGGACGTGACCGTGGTAGACCTCGTGGTTTGTGTCGTGGTCGTTTCAGTTGGTTGCTGTGGAGAAGGCCCCGGTGCTTGCTGGTTTCCTTCTGCAGGATCAGGTGTTACTTGTGTCTCGTCTCCACCGCTTCCTGTTGTGGTGACGGCGGTGGTCGTGACAGTGGTTGTGCTCGTCCTGCTGCTGGTGCTTGCTTCGCCCGAGGCAACAGCAGCCACGCTCAGGCCCTCAATCAGAGCGAGGAGCTGCTGCTGCGACTCCGGAATCATGCTGAGCTCAGCCAGTTGCTGGGCGAGGGTTTGCAGCCTTGAGTCAAAGTAGTCGTTCCGCTCGGTTTGACGCTGGGCCGTCCGGGTATTTTCCAGCAACACTCTCTTGAGCAAAGTGACGCTACGGTGAGCATGGGTACTGCGGGGAT